TCTCTATTATTGCTCATTTCTCTACTGTTATTTCTATATTTATTGTTATTGTATCTATCTCTACTACTTTCTCTGAGCTTATAGTTGTCGTACCTATCGGGATAAGGACTTTTTTCCCTATAATTGTTCCTGCCTTCGTGATCTGTTCTTCTTGGATATGGACTTTTGTCTCTATTGCGTGATCTATTTTCAAAATTGACTGTCTTGTCGTATTTTTTAATATTATGCATTTCGGTACATAGTTGATCGATTTTGGTACACAGATGATCGATTTTATTTTTATGATAACTGTCTATTCCTTCTAATTTTGTATTTAATCGTTTTATTTCTTGATTGCTGTCTTTAGTTTCATTATTTAGTTGCATTACTTGTTTATTTAAGATTTCCGTGTATTCGCTGAGTCCTGAACTTCTTGAATTAATTCTAAATTGCATAAGTTCATATTTTTTTAAATTTTCTTTCAATTTTTTCAAAGTACTATTATCATGCAGTGAGATGGCATGTAATATAGGTTCCCTAATACCTTTTAGTATGTACACGCAAATATCTTCCTCTTTCATATCTTTTTGTACTTGGCTACACAGGTATTCTATTTCCGTAACAAAACTAGAAATTGACTCTAAGTCGTTCTGTTTCCTATTTTCTAATTTGTTTTTTAATATTATTGAGTATCCTATGGGTTGAAATTCGTTTATGAACTCGCTTTTTAGATTTTCCCATGACCAGTTTTCTCTTTTGTTTTCCAAATTTTGTAGAAATTTGTTAGCAGTTTCTTTCAAAAATATTGATAGGAACTTAATTTTTTCGTCGTCGTTCCAATTGTTGATCTGTGCTGCCTTTTCGTATTGTCTGATGAAAGTTTTTATGTCGCCTTGTCCGGAAAAACTATCTGGTTTTACTATCATTTTTTCCATTTTGTGTTTTGGATTTTTATTTTCCAATATATTTAATTTTTCAGGTGTATTGTCTATTACGAATTTTGAGTTGCTAAAGAAAGTGGTATTTAAATCTGAATCAGTTTTTATTGGACTTATGATATCTTCGTATATGTGTTCTACTTTTGTAGATTCGTTAGGATCTAAGTTTATTAAATTATTATAACTATTATTAGGGGCTTGTACTGAATCGTTTTGATATAAATTACTACTAAGGTTTTCAATTTTTTCTGCTTGGATTATTAATTTGTTTGCGTTTTCTTCTAAATCTTTGGATAAATTATTTAAAAGGTCGTTATTAATTGTTTTTGGTCTATTTATAGCGCTATTACTCGTTTCTGGGCTTGAATCACTTAAATTGCTCTGTGTGAGTAATTCTGTAATATCAATTCTATCTTCTATTGAATCCTTTTGAACTTTGAGTTTTTGTAGATCACTTAAAGTTTCTTCGATGTCGCCTAATTCTACGATCCCCTTATAGTATCTAGATAATCTAGCCCTTAGGTTATCTACGGTTCCTACACTTTTTAATTGTTTAGATTTGCATAATTCAATAAGATCTGGTTTCTTTTGTATATAAATATCGGTTAATTTTGTAATTTTTTTTCCCAAAGCTATAAGATGTTCGTCATTCATATCATAATAAAATTTATTTTACTTAATTAACACTTAAATAATTAATTTTTCAACAGTTTGAAACTTAAATTAAAATATTTTTGTGGTTATTTAATATTGAATAAACATTTAAAAAAAAATCCTATTTAAATTTATAATGAAACTAATCTACAATCCTAATATTAATACGTAAGTATATCACTTAAATTAATATATTTTTGCGGTTATAATTATATCGAATAAAAATTTTGAAAAGAAAAAAAAGAAATAGAGAGAAAAATTGAACTAAAAAAAATCCTATTTAAATAGTTTCTATAAAAAACCTAATCTACTTGTTTAAAACTTAAATTAAAATTTTGCTGTTATTTAAAATTGAAAAAAAAAATTTTGAAAAATTATTGAACTAAAATTCTATTTAAATTGTTTTAAGAAAAATCTAATCTATAATCCTAATATAAGTATATTACAAAACGTTGCTCACCTTGGCGTATGCTTGTAGACGCACGGTTGCAGAAATTGTACCACGCGGCACAAAACTGCTGTCTTGTCGGTCAGACAAAAATCGAACGCGTATGAGTTACTCACTCGGTATACACACGCACAAAAATTGCGTTCTGGGTTTCTACTGCACCCAAAACACACAAAAAGTATTATTTTACTTTAACACTTTAACAGGTAAAAAAAACTAAACTTGCTCCGGATTTACTACCCGAAACGTGCACAAATGTTGTTCTTCACTTGTACAAAAAAAAAATAGGTGTGTCAAGGGAATCTCTCCCAGACTACACGTAAAAACTGTGGTACTTCTCGTACGTAAACACTTTCAAAAAAAATTAAACTTGCCAAGGTTGAGGTACCAGGGCACAAAAAATCAAAAAAAAAATGTCTCCGACCGTGGATAAGTAACCCCGTTGGGCGCCACTCTGTGGTATCACCCGTATTGGATAATACGCGGTAAACCAACTTTATACCTTACCCTCGTACGCTCTAGGCTAATGACTGTCTCTAGAATATATTCAGATTAGCACTGTTAACCTTTGAGGTACGATGGTAGCGTTTTGTCAGTTCTTCGTTCGTTTCCTAAATTGGAATGACTATTAGGACGCCACAACCAGAGCACTGTTCAGTTTGTAATAAACCTCATTGACTATAGGTGTGTGGGTCTGAGCACTGTTCCAATATTAAAGGTAAGAACGAAGAAGACTTTGAAATAAAACTCAACTCGGGTTTTTAGGTCGGAAACACTTTTATTATATTAAAACAAACATAAATTAAACACTTAGCAAATCCGGATTGCCTAGCCCGTACTACGATCGACGTTTCACACGTACGACCACAGTACCTACGTCCTCGCCGATTCACTCAGCGACAACGGGACTCTCTCCCTGTGCCTGCGCGTGCGGCGGTGTTATATAGTAATCTTATCGCTGTCTCAGCACATATGCTTCACTGACCTATGTTAATAGTTTACAATTTAAAATGTTCCCACCTCTATTACATATTATATATATTATTTTATATATTATATAAAATAATATTTTGACGACTGTCTACAATATACGACAATATTTTGAAACTTAGTTCATATGCCATCTAAAAAAATGTTAACATGACCCCAGGCAGCCAGGCTACAGAGTATGCAAGCACATCCCATGCATATGATATAATTAAATAAATGTTTGTTTTATTTTATTCAGGGTTTAATTATATTAATTTATCTCAGGTCATAGACTATGTAAGTAATAAGTAAGTATAACCATACCTAGATATATAATTAAATGTTTTAAATGGCAAATTCCTATAATGGTTTATAATTTTCATAGCTTAAACAGAGTCTTGTAAAAACTAAAAGAATGACTGATGCCAAGTATGAATGAATCTATTGATGTAAATTGTAAAAGAAAATAAATTAACAGCACTGATCAATATGACACCAGAAGCAGATCAATAGTTTAAAAAAAATCAAATTTAATACAACACAAACATCAATGAACAACTTCATACATTCAATAGATAATCACATAAATATAGTTTCTCATGGTAAATATTATGTTCTACTAGTTCTAGAATAAATAAATATTTTTCTAGTTAGTTTTTTAAATCAAGTTTATTTATAATTATTTATCTATATTAAATTGTATTGCAATATTATTTTAGTGCCTATACTATGTACCTACTTACTCAATAGTTAAATGTGAAAAGCTATTTATATTAAATTTGATACATTGATTTAAGTAGTTCCTCAATAATAAAAAAGGTTTAAAAATGTCTTATAGTATTTATTTATTGTATAGTAATGAGTTACTATTAATAATTGTTTTTTGTTTTATTTTACAGAAACACTTAATGAAATGATACAAGATTTAATAATAAACACATTTCTACCATTTAATATAGTGTGACATGTACATTTTAAGCATATTATTTGATATTTCTAAAGAATTTCCAGGTAGAAATCTTGTATCAACAGACTCTTAAGAAATATATTACCACAAGTTTAATATTGTGTTTGAAAAATTGAAATGTAAATTAAAATCAGTTGAACAATTAACCACTACAACTGCTGACGCATGGTCGACATTCAAAAGGCATACTTTTTAGATTTTTAATTTCATTATTAAATAATATCCATGTCATTAATTTATTTAAATCTTATTTGGGTATAACTATTAGTTGGTTTGAAGAAGGAAGTCTTCAATGCAAATCTTACTTATTATCTATTAAGCTATTGACAGGAAGTCACACTTATAACATATTATCCAGATCTATGGAATCTGTATACCTACCTTTATTTAACATAAATAACATATTATAAAATACAATATACTTCTTATCTATTATAATATTTGTGTGCTTTATTATACATTAATATCTAAGTCTGATATATAATTATGGTCAAACAATGTGTATCTCATGTAAAACAATGAATATCTAATAACATTTGAATTTTAGTATTATAAACACTTTTTTCATGCGGATTAACTAAGACAAACAACATTTTAACATATAATTAATTGGTGTAAATAATTTAAGACGTTTTTTGTGACTCCTAAAAAACTACAAAAACTGATTTATACACTGTTGCATTTTAAACGACAAATGATTTTGTAAGTTGCACTTTGTATGTGTGATAATACTTAGTGATAAAAAGTATTATCAGTGATATGCTTGTTATCAAATAGTTCTTGTTATTATTAATTTAGTATGGTTGTTATGAACTATTATAAAAATCTATATTAATATAATAGTTGTTGTATTTTATGATATTAAATAAATAGCATGTATTAATTTATGTATTAATTATTAAATTATTTAAGACACACGCATTAAATAATAACATGGCGCAGTCGTTTATAAGAACCTGAAGGCCCTAATCAAGATCCAATTGGATAGAATAGCACATGGTTAGTTGGTGTTGTGAGTATTTACACTAGTACTTAATAAATTATAATGGAGTTAAACAAACCTGAAGTTCTGGTATTGACCGGGAATATCAGCGATAACTTCAAACGTTTCAAGCATGAAATACAAATTTACTTTTTGGCTACGGAAACAACGAAGAAATCACATGAAATTCAAGTTGCACGGTTGTTAAACTTATTAGGTAGTGATGGAAACAGGTTGTTAGAAACACTCCCTGTTGAACATCAAAGGGTTGATGAAATACTGGAAGCACTAGAAAAATATTGCATTCCTCGTCGAAATGAAATTATGGAAAATTTTCAATTTTTCACGAGAAAGCAACAAGAAGGTGAAAAGTTTGATCAGTTCTATGCAGATCTACGGAAGCTGGCTAAAATATGTGAATTTGGCCAGCGTGAAGAGAAATTATTAAAAACACAAATAGTATTGGGTATCACCGACAAAGAATTACAAACTCGGTTGCTGAGGGAAGATCCGACTCTAAACAATGTAATCAAACACTGTCAGCTGGTGGACCAAGCAGAAATACATCGTCGTATAGTTCAAGAGGAATCATCAAATGAAATCAACGTCGTTGAACAGAATTCATATCGCAGAAACACAGAACACAAACAAAACAAGAAAAAGGCTACAAATACTGATTGGAAGAAGAAAGAAGGTGAGCTTAGCAGACAGAAAGGTAATAATAATACATGTAATAAAAATGTAAAAAAAAAACAAATTATTAATTGTAATAGATGTGGACGTAATCATAATTTAAATGAGTGTCCAGCGTTTGGACAAGAGTGTAAAGGTTGCGGGCTATTAAATCATTTCGAAATTAAATGTAGGAATAAAGAAAAACATTCGGTGAATACCATGGTAACTAAAGAAAATAATTTGTCATTAGATACAGTAGAAATAAATGAGGTGAATAAAAGTGATAGATGTTGGACTAATAAATTAATAATTGAGAATATTGAGTCTGAAGTGAAATTGGATACGGGTGCACAAATAAATGTATTGCCAATAAGTTTCTTCAAAAAACTTGATAAAACAGCTCAAAAAAGTAATATAGTAATCACAGCATTTGGAGGATTTAAAATAAATTCTGTGGGTAAGGTCAAGTTATGGGTTCAAAGTCGAAACATCAAGCATGAGACAAAATTTGAGATCGTTGATTATATAGGATTGCCTATAATCAGTTATAATGATTGTATTAAGTTTAAATTTAACATACCGTCAGAAATAAATGTAGTAAAATTAGAAGATAAAGAAAAACAAGAATTTATACAGAGGAACAGTGATGTATTTGAAGGATTAGGTAATTTCCCAGATAAAATAAATATTAAATTAAATAAAGAGGCAATTCCTAAGGCATGTTCACCGAGGAGGGTGCCTATTAAAATATATGATCGGGTAAAGGAAACTTTAGTTAGAATGGAGAAATTAAAAATAATTAAAAGAGCTAAAGAGCCGTGTGAATGGCAAAGTAATATGGTAACTGTAGAAAAGCCAGACAAAACATTAAGAATTTGCATTGATCCCAGGGAGTTAAATAAATTCATTATTAAAGAACGTTATCAAATTCCTTCGTTAGAAGAACTAAAGCCTAAATTAGCAAATAAAAAATGTTATACACTGTTAGATCTTAAAGACGGGTACCATCAATGTGAACTTGATCAAAATTCCCAAAAATACTGTAGTTTTTCAACACCATTTGGCACTTATCAATTTCTAAGACTTCCGTTTGGGTTGTCTAGTGCCCCAGAAAAATTCCAAGAACTTATTTATAAGTATTTTGGTCACATAAAAAATGTTGTGGTGTATTTTGATGACATATTGATTAGTGCTACAAATAAAGCAGAACATGATGAAATTTTAAATGAGGTCATACAACAAGCTAGGAAGTTAAACATAAAATTTAATCCTAAAAAATTACAATTATGTGTAACAAAAGTAAAGTTTTTAGGATTTATTTTTGATGAAAAAGGAGTTTACCCTGACCAGGAAAGAATTCAAAGCATACAAAATCTAAAAGAACCAACCAATAAAAAAGAATTACAGTCATTTTTGGGAATGGTAAACTACCTTAGAGAATTTATTCCTAACATGTCCGAAATAACAGGTTCATTGAGATCCCTGTTAAAGAAAAATATAATTTGGTCGTGGGATACGCACTGCCAAAATTCGTTTAGTAAATTAAAAGAAATCCTAAGTGCACTTCCAACTTGAAGTAATTTTAATAGTAAAATAGGTAATCTAGAAATACAATGTGATGCATCTCAAGGGGCGTTAGGGTGTTGTCTGTTCCAAAATAAAAGACCAATACATTTTGCTTCTAGGAGTTTAACAGAGACAGAGACATCTTATGCACAAATAGAAAAAGAAATGCTAGCTATAACGTTTGCATGTTCTAAGTTTCATTATCTAATATATGGTCAAAGTAGTGTTAAAATATTCACAGATCATAAGCCACTAGTTTCTATAATGGGTAAAGAAATTCATAAAATTCCCAATAATAGATTAAGGCGATTATTAATTAAATTAATGATATATGATCTTTCAGTAAATTATTTGCCAGGTAAGCAGATGTATGTGGCTGATTACCTTAGTAGAAATTATGTAGTGACACAAAGCATTGTAGATGTAGATCTAGAGGACACAGTACACATAGTCAATGAAATTGATATAGAGTTTACTAATGAAAAAGAAAAGTCTTGAATTTAAAAAATTTTCTTCAGCCTGGGGTTTTACTATCATAAACTCAAGTCCTAATTATCCTAAAAGTAATGGGTTAGCGGAGAAGGATGTTGGTATAGCAAAGATGCTAATTAGAAAATCGACTCATGAAAAACAGGATTTAGAGCTGTACTTACTAAATTATTGCAATGCACCTATTACAGGATTACAGTGTACGCCAGCTCAACTGTTACAAAGCAGAGAAGTAAGATCTAAAATGAATGTGGTACACAGAAAAAAACTATTTAAACCTGTTATACAAAACTGTGTAGAGAAAATGAGGGACTCAAAAAGAAAACAAGCTTTGTATTATAACAGAGGTGCGAATATAAATATTAGTTGCTTTGAGGAAGGTGAAAAAGTTTATATGCAGGACAAGTGGACAAAAAATTGGCATGAAGGAAAAATAATTAAAAAACTGAAAGAACCCAGATCATACTTAGTGAAAGACAGAAATGGTAGGATGTTAAGGAGGAATACCAGTTTTCTTAAGAAAATAGGAATAAGGAAACAGATCAGAGTAGAGGGTGAAAGAGAGGAGTATGGCAAGTTAAGTAATGAAGAACATTACAACAAGATTTGTAATCAAACATATCAAAAAGAAGATAGAACCAGGATAGGGAGAAAGGTGGTAAAACCTAAAAAATTAGACTTATAAGATTATGGTTACGTTCAAATTTAAAAAGTTGTCAATAAATTTCAAATTAAAAAAAAAAAAAAAAAAAAAAAAAAAAAAAATGTAAATATTATATAGCATCATACACTAGAAAATTAAGTAATTTATCTCATTGTACTATTCCAATAATAATGTATATCTTGTTATGTTAATCGTATGTAATTTTGAAAAAATTGTTATTCCAAAGTATATTGTGAAATTAAGCACATTATGTTGTTAAGTAAAAAGGGGAGATGTGATAATACTTAGTGATAAAAAGTATTATCAGTGATATGCTTGTTATCAAATAGTTCTTGTTATTATTAATTTAGTATGGTTGTTATGAACTATTATAAAAATCTATATTAATATAATAGTTGTTGTATTTTATGATATTAAATAAATAGCATGTATTAATTTATGTATTAATTATTAAATTATTTAAGACACACGCATTAAATAATAACAGTATGTAACTATTATTATTATTTTATTCTACTTAATATTAACAAATAAAAACTTAAAAGACTATTATAAATTACTTACCTTTTTATTCTCCATTTTAAAAAGAAACTTTTAAAATAAAACTAAAAATATTTTAGTCGGTGTACGTCTGTTATGACTCTATGCAACAACGTTCTGTTAATGATTAGAATATAATAAATTATAATTTGAAACAAAGATAACATGATATTGAGAATAATGATATGTATATAGAACCATTTAAAAAGATAGTTGATAAAAAGACAGTTGATAAAAAACACAGTTGATAAAAAGCACATGCATCGTGTTCTCCGGCAGCTAGGGCACATAGAGTTAAAAATAGAATACAAATAGTATAAAAACAATGGAAATCACATATAACACTTTAAGATATTGATTTTTTTTTCAAATGATGTTTATGTAAACCTTTCTTTGTTTCTTTTCGTGATAATATTTATTATTTAACAATATATTTTAAATTCTGAACGCACATAGTATTATGACGTATTACGAACAACTAACATACAGCAAAAGTAGCATAGGTAGGCAAGTGTCGGACTGAAACACCAAAGGCCTATTGTACGGGCCGGGTACGAACAGAAATAGTCCGTGCGCCCGGTCACCTAAATACTTCGCGCACCACTACGCACCGACCTACATGTGTTATGGTGTGTATATATGTGGGTAGCACTCAACAGGAAGTGGACAGGGTCGCGGAGCAAAACCTGTGAGTGCTAGAGTGTGGGTGGATGTGTAAATGTGTGTATATTGTGATGTGTGTGCTTAAACTAATGGACAGGTACCTAACGCAACTTAAGTAAATAATAAAGAGTATACTCCGGCCCACGAGAGAGTATCCTCGTTTTGCGCATGCATACTGACGGCGGATACCGTTCCGAGGCCACATTTCCCCCACTATTTCCGCGACTGCGGCATGCCATGAAGTGAATACAGAGTGTATGCAGTGATTACATACATTATACAGAGTGATGTAGTGCCATACGTACAAACATACGATGACTATTTTTTTTTTTAATTGATACAATTTCATCGTTATTTAATAACGTTTTATCGTTGTACATATAATGTATTTATTATTTATTTTGAAAAAAATTTGTAATTTTAGTTTGTTTTTTATTTTGTTCTAATATTCCGAAAATATACTGTTCGTATTCGTATTATATATTAAAATTATTACCACGGTGATGGAAATTTGAGTCTTATAACCGAAGTGTTGAGTCTTACAACCGATTTTTTTTTAATGTATTTGGATACGTCCGGTTAGGTTAGGTTCCAGGCGATTTTGAGTCTAATAAGCGACTGAACCTTATATCCGTGAGTCTTATAAGCGGCGTCTACTGTATTATAAAATATTTTAATAGCTATAGGTACACGTCATAAATATAAAAAACAACTTATTATGTATATATATTATTATTATAAAATATTTTAGTACATATAGGTACACGTCATAAATATAAAAAACAACTTATTATTATTATTATAACTATACACAATTTAAAATTAATCGGAACAATCGGAAGAAGTATCTCCTGTAATTGTCAATACGTGAGATGTTCCTTCTTCTTCAAATTCTTCAGTAATGAAATCGATATTGAACAATTTATCTTCTTCTTTGATGGTATGTCTGACGAAATTGGCCCACATGTCTGGTGTTACAAGATTGACGCCATCGACCAGTAATTTTTGTACGTCGTTTAGCTTGAACGTTGTATTATTATATTTTACGTGATTTTTCACAGCCGCCCACGCCAACTCTATTGGGTTTAACTCACAATGGTAAGGCGGCAAACGCAATACAATTTTATTGGATTTTGATGCTTCTTCGTCAATCACATATTTGTCATGAAGATGTCTAATTTCTTTGACCTTGTCCAACATTAAATGTTTGACCATCGGCGTCTCGATACTACAACCTTTGGAACTTAACCATAGTACAATTTTGTCCTTTTTCCAAGCATTTGTGGGAATGGGGTCCAGTTTGACGGAATGGTAGGAAGCATTGTCCATGACTATCACGGAATTATCTTTCAGTTTAGGCAAAATTCCGCAAAACCAGTCATAGAAGGTGTCCCCATTCATTTCATCGTGGTAGTCTGCTGTGTTTTTTTTTGACTCAAAACACAGTAGACCACCCTCGACGAAACCCTCAGCTGAGCCGATATGAACAACAATTAATCGCTTGCCCTTACCTGTCGGATTTTTTGGCCCGGTCGACAGTCCTTTTAGGAAAGCATCTCTGTGCGATTTGATTGTCTTGTCCATCCACACCTTGTTGCAAGTCTCTCCCGCATTCACCCATGTCTCGTCGAGAAAATATATTGTTCGACCTTCATTCCTATAACGTCGTATGTCTAGAATATATTTTTGCCGCCATACCACAATATCTCCTCTCTCGGTCAGGGCGCTGTTCCGGTTTCTCTTCGTATATTCAAACCCCAATTCTTTTAAAATACGCTGCAAAGATGTCCTGGGTATTGTAGGTAACTCCATATCATCACTGATGGCCTGAACGATTTTTTTTAATGTTGGAATCTCATTTTTAATCCAAAATCCATGGATTTTTTGCCTGATAGCGTTTTTCTCAAAATCGTCGACTTTGTCGTTGATTGTTGGACGATTTTTTGTTTTATTGGGTGACTTCACTTCTTTATTGTTTTTATAATTTCTTACAGTTTTACAAACTGTAGTGTATCCAATGCCGCTTTCTTCGGATATTATTTTCATTAAATTATTGAACTTCGCATCTGGCTGTTTTTGAATTTTGGCCTTATACATATTAATTACCAATGTTCTCTGTTTGCTTCCAACGAACTGAAACAAATATGCAGTTAAGTAAAAAATGTATGCTGGCTAGTACTATTTATATAATTTTAAAGAATCTCGGAAAAAAAAACCAAACAAAAAAATAAAAACCACGGAATAAAAAAACAAAAGCTATTTTATGTCATATTATTTCATTAGACATAAGTTCATACCTACAATATATTTTTATTATTTTCATACATAAAAACCAGCTTAACTTTATTATACTATATTTTCAGTTTTAAGAGTAATATTTCCGTGTCTAACCTAAGCCTAGCCTTAAAAGTATATAAACATAATTATTTCTTACAGACGCATTTTATGTGCATATTTGTAAGATATAACTTATTGTAAAATTAATTTATAATATAAATTATTTTTATTATTATTATTATTATTATTATTATTACTCTAGCAACCAATGTTTGTATTGAAGTAACTTATTTTAAAAAAGGTTTTGATATTTTCTTATATATTTTGTAAGCTGTATGGAAGTATAATAAAAAAAAACAGAAAAGTAATCGTATTAAAAACTACAAAAAAAATATATATAAAAAAAATATTTAAAAAATGAATAGAATTTATATTATTATAATGTTACCGATACAATTGTTTTGAATTATAGTATAAGCTGGATTATTGATCTACATTTTTAATTAGAAAATTAAAACTATGACATAACTATAATATATAACATAATATAGCAAAATTTAAAAATTTGGTTTTTGTTTCCATGGTTTTTTTCCGTTTACCAATTTTAAAATATATAATTTAAAATAATTGAAAAATGCTTACCGCTCCACATCGATTTTTTTTAACGGGTGAACTCAATGATACTTGTTGATTCTGCAAATTGTCAACAGCCGGCGTGACAGAAGTGTTTGTACTCATGGTCTCATTGTCACTCATTTTGAAAATATTAGTATATCACAGATCACAGTGCAAATAATATTTTTAAAAAATAAGCGCGCTGTGTACACGAAGCAGATGATACAATTAATAATCGACGCGACGACGCAGAACAAAAACACAAACGCTACAACAGTCTGTAAACAGTTTATATTACAACCCACACTGTATAGCGTCGTGCGCTGCCGGCCGGTGCCGGGCAGCTGTCGGCATGCCGAGTAGTGGGGAATGCGCGGAATCGGACGAGTTTTCGTCGGGCGGCGGGATACTCTCTCGTGGGCCGGAGTATAGTTTGATGAGGATTGGGAATCGGGCCTTTCCGAGGGACTCTCGGATAGGCTTTTTTGAAAGCGGCCTTGAATACCGGGCAGCCCTTGAAATTGGTGGTGTGTTCCTTGGAGCATAAGGCGCATTTAGCAGGACTACTATGGTCTTTGGTGCAGTCCTCCGTGTGATGGTCTTCCCCACATTTGACGCATCTCGATTGGTGATGACAATTTTTTTTCGTGTGTCCGTAATCTTGACAATTGTGGCATTGAGGTGGGCCTCTTTTTTTGATGTGTGGTTTCTCGATAGAAACTTTTGTATTGAGAAGCGAAGAGATGCCCAGAATGTCGTTGTTATTGTCCTGAGGTTTAACCTCTACAAAGAATAGAGGAAGGGGGCTTTTATCTTTGTTTTTGGCGTTGTGAACATATTTGACGTTGTGACCTAATTCGGCCAACGCGTTAATTATATCGGGCACTAACGTGGAGTGGTGCAGGTTTCTAATGACACATCTGTAG